GAGATGGATTTGTGAAAGAAAGTGAAAGCATGGTTTCTAATTGATGATTAAAACATGGATAAATTAACCAAAAAGGGTTGTTTATGAATTGTTTCTTAAGTTAAATATATTTACATGTTTTCGTTTCTGTGTAAAAGTGTACTCTTTAGCGTTGCAAATAAAGTGATTGTGTTCATATGGGTTACAAACGGTAGTTATGATGTTGATTAAGTCGTGATGTGTGGTTAAATCATCATTCAACATTAGATATGTGTTTTGAAGGTTTGGTCGATTGAATGCTAATGCGATGATGATTTAGGATATGTTTTTTGGAATCCTTTATTTGAAAAAAGAATCGGAAATAGGTGGCGTTAGATCGTGTTGACAACTCAAACGTAATTCATTCTTTCATCAATGACCATATGTCTGAACCAAACTGGAAAATAAACTGTTTTGCTCTTGAGGGCCTAAATATTGTAATACTTGTAATAATAGAGATAAATATTGTAGAAGGCAGAATAGGATACAATAAAATTCCAAGGATAATAAAAATTTCTTATTAAAAAGATTTTGGTTTAAAGTACAAAACTTGGAGCTGAACAAACATTTAAGGACAAGGTTTGAATAAGGTATCGTTTGTTACAATACTTTATAAAAAAATTTTCGATGACACAAACATGATATTTTTGACAAATTTATATACAAATATTTATTACAATAATGGTTGTTGAAGTTGTTTATATAAATATGAAAAAAAGCATAATATATTCTTATATTTTTTTGTGCCAAATTTTATAAAACATTATTTAATACAGTATCGTCAATTTCTTGGGAAAATATTTATGGTATGTTTTTAATTGATTTAATTGAAAAAATCGAAGTTTATTTTCATCCATTTAAGTATCAAATTATTTGATTCCTAATTATAATGTTTAAGTATAACTTTGCGACCAAAATTGTTCGTTTTTATCAAATATATACGTTAATTTGTATCATTTTTATTTTCAATTTTTATACAATAATACATAGACGCTGATCTAGTTTTGTTAAGTATTTATAACAAAGTCATAAAAATATTAAAAAATCACTTTGAAGTTTAAAAAAATCAGTTTATTTAGATTTTAGTAACATGCAGATGTTACAAAAACAAACAGTCTTCTTTTTTCAGACTACAGACGTTTGGTCCACCTCTTCTACTGCACATCTTCTACTGTAGAGGTCTACAAATGTGGTCCGCAGACTACAAACATTTTGCCTCAGAAAAAACAAACAACACCTAAGTCACCAATAACAATACTACAAATCCCTCTGTCTTAATTAATTTGAGATAGCTTAGAATGTCTTCAAGCTCTAGTGATATTTGTAAGTGGCTAGGAAACTACCTATAAATTTTTTAAGCTATTTTTTTCACTCATCTCTCAATTAAGAGTGAAGTCAAGGTGGTTTTTGTTGAAAGATAGAAGCTCCTAAAAACTACGTGCCCAACAAGCCATAAGTCTGAACATTATGGGTGTGTTCCTCAAAAGTAATTGGAAGCTGCAAGCTGGTAGCTGAAGCTGAAGTTGGAAGCTGGAAGCTGACAATTGACAACCAGCAACTTAAAGCTAGAAGTTATAGGTTTTATTCGTATTGGGTGTTCAACACAATAAGTTGAAAGCTTTTTAAATATGTAAAATTAGATAAAAAGATATATAGTTTATGGATATAAACCAAAATTGAAATATAATGATGATAACTTATTTTTTCTAAACTATAATTACCAAAAGTTAAAAAACCATCCAAAATTTAATAACAAGTGCATCGATTAAACTTATAAAATGATAAAAACTTTTTTTTGTGCATATTTGTAATATTGTATTTGACGTGCCACGACTAACTTATTTTTCGAGTTATTTTAAATTGTCATGTTTGACTAATAAAAAATAATTTATAAGCTAACTTTTTAAAAATCTACTTAGGCTGTGTTTGGCGTGCCACAGATAGTTGTCATGTTTGACAAAGTCAAAAAAAACTTATAAGCTATTTTTTTAAAAAACTAGCTAGACTCATTGTTATGAGTTTTTTTTTTTAAAAATTTTTCCAAATATATCTTTAATTAATTACTCCCTCCGTCCCATTTTTATTGTCCACAGATAAAAAAACACAAAGTTTAAGAATACAATAATTACTATTACTTTATTCAGTAAAATGACATTTATACATTTTTTAAAAATCTTACATTACTTTCTTTTAAAAGAGTAAATTACACGAATGGTCCCTATGATTTGGGGTAATTTGCGTGCTTGGTTCCTAACTTATTTTTTTAACTCGGAAAGTCCCTACTGTTTGTTTTTGTTACGCGCTTGGTCCCTACTGTTTGTTTTTGTTATGCGTTTGGTCCATGTCTTACCTAAAATTATTATTATTTAAATAGGGAAAAATTGTGGGGTGTATAAGGTAAGGTGAAAGGGGTGGGGTTGGAGGTGTGTTTATTTAAATAAAATAAAAAATCAATGACAAAATAGTCTTTTTAGGTAAGATAGCGACCAGGTGCGTAACAAAAACAACAAGTAGGGACCTTCCGAGTTAAAAAAATAAGTTACGGACCATTCGTTTAAATTACCCTAAACCATAGGGACCATTCGTGTAATTTACTCCTTTTAAAATTCTAGATTTTTAATTACTCTGTATGCAATAGAAACTTTGCTGTAAAATGTTTACTTGACAAAAGTAGTATTCCTATTTTAAAAATTTTGATTTCTTTTGGTAAACAAATGGAAGTAAAAGTGCCGCCATATTTTTATACCAAAATCACCTAAATTTTTGACTATTCCATATCCTAACTTTAAATGAAGAATTTTAATCGTCAATTTTTTTTCAACCACTTTTAAAATTCCATATTCTTTTGATGGCAAATATGTATAACTCCATACTTAAAGATAAATTTGGCTATATTTATCTGCATCTAACAGTTCGTAATACACCAGATTCAAGCTAGTTTGCTCTCATTTGACACTTAAATTTCATATGGAGCATTCCACAAATCCACTCACTAGAAAAACACTACCATTGCACAACGATCAACCTATATTCCAAGCCTTATTGCAAGAAAGTTTGGATGGACGATTAAAGAAAGGTTCTGCACGTGAAGTAGCTTCACTATTCTTGGTTTCTAAACGGACCGTTAGTCGTATTTGGTGTCAAGGTAAAAATCAAGTTGAGCAAGGATTACCGGTTGATTTATCTTCAAACATGTCAATGGTTGTCAGGCGGAAAAGGGTACAAATAAATTTGAATTAAGTTTCAGAAATTACGTTACGTCGTTGATCCAATATACGATCTCTTGCAAAATCTTTAAATGTTTCAAAATCAACTATGCATAGACGGATTAAGGAAGGTGTGCTATGACCGCATACAAATGCCATCAAGCCGACTCTAACTCATGAGAATAAAAGTGCAAGGTTAGAATTTTGTTTATCAAAAATTACGTTGGCATCATTATTTAGTCCACTTCCTACATTCTACGATATGTTTAACGTTGTCTATATTGATGAGAAATGGTTTTACATGTCAAAACCATCAAAACGTTACTATCTAGTCCCCGGTGAGGATGAACTGTCAAGAACATGCAAAAGCAAAAAATTTATCACAAATGTTATGTTTCTACGGCGGTAGCAACACCAAGATTTGATTCATCGGGCAACGGAGTTTTTTCAGGAAAAATAGGTATCTATCCATTTACAACATTAGAACCCGCTAAATGTTCAAGCAAAAACCGTGTTGCTGAAACATTGGAGACAAAACCTATTCTATCGGTGAACAAAGAGGTAACAAATTCATGGTTGATAGAAAAAGTTCTACCGGATATTAGAGCTAAATGGCCGTGAGGTTACACAGGTCCCATATTTATTCAACAAGACAACGCAAAACCCCATGTTGATGTTAATGATAGCGAGTTTCTTGAAGCGGCATCTCGAGATGAGTTTGATATTCGACTTTGTTTTCAGCTCCCAAATAGCCCGGGTTTGAATGTATTAGACCTTGGATTTTTTCGAGCAATACAATCACTTCAAGAACAAGAGGCTTTGCATACAATTGATGAATTGGTTGATGCGGTTCAAACATCATTTGAAAGAATGCAATCATAACAACTTAACAATGATTTTTTAACTCTACAAACATGCATGAAGGAAATCATGAAGGTTCAAGGTGGCAACAACCATCATGTACCGCATATTGGTAAAAATAGGTTAGAAGGACAAGGTAACTTGCCACTCCAAATTGAGTGTGATCAGAGTTTAATAGATGATGCTGTAATGTATTTGAACCATTAAAAAATTGTTTATCGAAAGTTTTTGTAAAAAACTATTCACGGTGTTTTGAATGTAATGAAAAAGTAAAGAGCTTTTTCTTTTGGAATTGAAGTTCACAAATTTACTGCCACTGTGTCTTTTGTTTTCGTAAAGTACATATTTTAATTTACTCTTATTTTCTTTCTCGTAAATTAGAATATTAAAGATATGATAGATGACTCAAATAAATGGTAAAATTGTAAAACTGCACTTTTTAGCAATGACAATAATTTTGGGACAACTAGAAATAGGAAGTTAGACAATAAAAATGACACAGATGGAGTATAAAAATATTATTCTAAATGCATTTTATGTAATTTTATAGTTTTTATAAAATATTTTTTTTATCGGTTAGTAGTTAATTTTTCGGCTAACAACTAACTTTTTAACTATTAGCTATATTTTTAGTTAACAACTAGTACATAAAATTTATCAACTAAATAAAAATATATATTTTATATACGATTTAGTGATAACTAAAGTATTTAGATTTAGATAAATGATTTCACTTTAGATCATAACAAACTCACAAATTAATGATGGGTCAAATAGAGGATGGGGTTTGTTAACAAGAATCCCGTCAATGCCTCACTCTCTCTCTTTAAACTCCATCTCAAGAACACAAAACCCTAGAAAAAACCTTAGAAAGAAACTAAAAAAGTTAGAACAAAATTTTGTTTAATCATCAAAATGTCTCTTCTTTCCGATCTCGTTAATCTCGATCTTTCTGGTTCCACTGAAAAGATCATTGCAGAATACATATGGTTAGATCTGTCTGCATGCATGCATGCTCTCTTTCTTTTTATTCATTTATACTCATTTTTAGAAGACCACATGAAAGTTGTACAGTTTATTTATTTGCTAATATTGGATTGATTATTAACTTGTGATCGATCAACAAACAGGATTGGTGGTTCTGGTGTGGACATAAGAAGCAAAGCTAGGGTAAAAAATAGTTTCTTAATTTTTCTTTCATGCATGAATAACTTACATAAATCATGCTCTGAGGTTTGTATGCCATATATTGTGTTTAATTACTATTAGACCCTTCCTGGACCGGTTTCTGATCCTTCAGAACTACCAAAATGGAACTACGATGGATCTAGCACCAAGCAAGCCCCTGGCGAGGACAGTGAAATCATTATACAGTTTGTTAATTTCCATCTTTCATCAAAACTTATACTTCCAGTAATTAATATATAATTAATATAATCTGAATCGACTCAAGTAACACATTTTTATCATGTCTCTAGTCCTCAAGCAATATATAAGGATCCATTCAGGAGAGGCAACAACATTCTTGTAAGTTGTTCATATCTATGTTTGTTTAAATGTTCCAAACTTGTTGATAACCATTTATAGATTCTAATTAAACGCTAGCTGGTTTACTGATTGGAAAATTAATTAAAGTTGATTTCATTTCATAATATATATGTATATTTATAGGTGATGTGTGATGCATACAACCCTCAAGGAGACCCGATTCCAACTAATAAACGTCATAATGCCGCAAAAATATTTAGCCATTCTGACGTCATTGCAGAAGAAACCTGGTATATGTATATATGTATCTATAGTTTTCATTTGGAAAACAAAAAAACTACTTTTACAACAACGATTGACCATGCATACGTTATTTTGATGAAAACGAATTAAACCCAAAGTTATTGTCTATTATAAAGATTGCATGATACAAGTGTTATAAATGAAAACAGGTTTGGCATAGAACAAGAGTATACATTGCTACAAAAAGATGTAAAGTGGCCAATTGGGTGGCCTATTGGAGGGTACCCTGGACCTCAAGTAATGTCTCGATCACCTTTTTCAAACTGTCAAAACATATATAGATTCTATATATAATGATAAATATATCTTGAATGATTTTTTTTTTTTTTGGTATATGTATAGGGACCGTATTATTGTGGTACAGGTGCTGATAAAGCCTTTGGGCGCGATATTGTTGATGCACATTACAAGGCTTGTTTGTATGCCGGAATAAATATTAGTGGCACTAATGGAGAGGTTATGCCTGGCCAGGTATATATCTTATCTGATCTGATTCTGATCTATACAAAAATAAAAAGACGATTGATATATAAATTTCATTTGTATTTGTAATAATTGGGTGAACTTATGATCTTTAATGTGCTTATGATCACCAGTGGGAGTTTCAAGTTGGTCCGTCGGTTGGCATCTCCGCCGGCGACCAGGTGTGGGTGGCTCGCTACATTTTAGAGGTATGATTGATAAATTAAGTAATATTATATGCATGTGTTCTTTAAAAAAATCCAAAAATAATCAAGTTTGATGTTAATTAAAGACATTATTTTTAATCTACGAATATACGCAGAGGATAACTGAGATCGCCGGAGTGGTTCTTTCATTTGACCCAAAACCTGTTCATGGTGATTGGAATGGAGCAGGTGCTCACACGAACTACAGGTACATACATACAAATGGTGCTACTTACAAGACATTTTGAGATATATATTTACGTGAATTAATGTTGTTATACTTGAATATATATGTATGTTGGTTTGTATGTAGTACGAAATCAATGAGATCAGATGGAGGTTTTGATGTGATAAGGAAGGCGATTGGAAAGCTTGAAAAGAGGCATAAGGAACATATAGCTGCTTATGGAGAAGGCAATGAGCGCCGACTAACCGGAAAGCATGAGACGGCAGATATCAATAACTTCAATTGGGTATTTCTTTATAAATATATTTTGGTTGGTTCATGAATGTGTAATTAGCGTTTGGTTAATTAATTACAGGGTGTAGCGGATCGTGGAGCATCAGTTAGGGTTGGAAGAGAAACGGAGAAGGCAAATAAAGGTTATTTTGAGGACAGAAGGCCATCATCGAATATGGATCCTTATGTTGTCACTTCAATGATTGCTGAGACAACCATTATCTGGCAGCCTTGAGTCTTTTGAACACTCCTGTTTTGGCATCTTTGTGATCAAAGGTTGGATCAAGGATTTCTAGCTAGTAGTGCTTAGTTCTATTTATTATTTATTTAAAAGAGTTGTTATATTTCGATTACGTTTCTTAGTCTTTATGTGCAAATATTTAGTGGTAGAACCGTAGAAGTAATTCTTGCTTATATATTATTAGCTTGTTTTTATTTGTAGGTTGCAATGAAGATTGATGAGTATAATTTCATTGCATCTCAATTTTTGTTTTTTCTCCAAAGCTTTATACGAATTGTGAATGTGTAGTATAGAGTTCTCCATCACAACATCGTGTGAGACCCAAAGCTTGTTTTTGTGTGCTTTACTTGAATGATTAAGATTTTCTTTCATCGTAATATAATGTCCCGAGTCTAGATTTCATTTTGTGTGCTCATCAATTGGTTCAGCACCAACACGTGAGCCTGAACTAGAACCTGAATCTTCTCCACGAGTGTTCATCGCCATTCTGAAAAAACAACCATACAATAATCAGAACATACCCACAAAATTCCTCATCCTACAGGCTTCCTAGAATCTCCGCGTCTTTCCTCGATTTGAGTACGGATTATGTGCTTTTAGTAGTACGGATCCAATACTACCTTCCACACCTATCCATACTTTCCTCCCACTTATGTTAGTTAGCTACTTCATGAATACAATTACATCAACAAAGCTTGGATAAATATTCGACTAAAATATTCAACCCTACAACGATTAGACTCAAACGAGAGTTGCGCAATAGGGCCAAATCAATCACTCTGAGATTACTTAACCTTTGCAGCATGTAACTTAAAGTATTCACTTAATTGTTAACTCACATCATCAAGAGTCCCACAAAGCACAAAGCAAGCAACATTCGTGCAGTAACACTAAGAAGCCACAAAACAATTAAATGACATCCCCTACTCACTTGCTGCTACGATGCTAGAAACTTCTACTAACACTGTCAGTTGCCTTATGCATGCAAATTATACACAATATGAGATCAAATAGACTTTCGAATAAAATATTATACCCTAAGACCACAACCAAACAAGGACCAAGAGATAAGGCTTAATCAGTCATTTTAGGGCTATGTGATCTTAATCGTATACAATTTTTAAAACATACACTTAGCAATCACTTCCACCGTTATAGATTCCAAATCTAACATAGCATCCAATTCCTCCTAGGCTACAAGACATCACAAATCAGGCCAATCTATCATGCAATTCCTGAAGGTATCCCTAACCTTATCCTAACATGCAAACATTTCATATCATATAACATATCAACATGTATGGGTATTCTGGGAATCACTTACTTGAGCTCGGCTGATTCATGCATCACACTCCCTTTTTCTTTAAAAAAATCTTTTTAGAAAACTTATTTTCTTTCAAAAAGATTACCAATTCCTCGGTTTGACTCCAGACACACCCGAGAGTGTGCCCGAATCCCTCAAACCAAGACTTTGATACCAACTTGTAACGTTCCAAAAAAATTCATAGTAAAATTTTCATTTTTAAAACCATAAACAATACAAACAAGTTGTTCCAAAACTAATCTAAGTGAAATATAATATTTAAACATCAGAGTAAAAATCACAAATAGTTGATGTGGAATAAGCTCTGGGGGATATTGTGCAGTCATGCCGAGCCCTTCCCTTTGGAACTGGAAGTACCTAAAACCATAAACATGAAACTGTTAGCACAAAGCTTAATGAGTTCCCCAAAATACCACATACCATACATATCATCGGGCCTAGCTCGCACATTGGGCCCGACCCATAATAATGGGCCTATCCCTTCCTAATCAGTGGGCCCAACCCATCATACAAACGGGACTAGCCCGACATACAATGGGCCTAGTCTAACATAGAATGGGCCCAACCTACTCATGCAAATGGGCCCAAACCTACATGCATGCCAATGGGCCCATCCCAACATATAATGTGAGAGTCGCAAAGATAGCTAGCATCCTACGAAACACATTCTAATGGGTCGGCATTGGTGCCTTTGACCCACAAGTTTAGCGAGGAGACTCACCTGACTCTCGAATCAGCTAAACTACAGCTCAAGGCCTTGCAACCGCTGCTCCAGCACTCCTATCACAACATACAAGGTTCAACCTTAGTCTACACACTAAAACCATCCATCTTGACCAAAAGTCAACCCATGACAAAATTCAACGGTCAAAGTCAAAGTCAACAACCCATAATGTCAACTATCAAGCCTCACGTTGTGACTAGCCCTTGGTCACGTCGTGAGAGCTCACTCGACCCAATTCCAACTCGATTCACTCCAACTCAGCCAACTCAAACACGGATAACTCACTAAGCTAACCTCACATCGTGATCCCCAGAAATGTTCAACATAAACGAGATCTATCATTCTCACGACGTGACACCTTATGTCTCACGTCGTGACTACAGTCTGAAGCCAATATCCAAAGATTTAAGTCCTTAATCCATTAAGGCTTTCACTCTAACTTTTCCAGAAGCCAAAGGGGACTCCAAAGGTCCATAAAATGATAACTTGATGGACACGCATGTCGCATGCATGTCCTCCATCTATTCTAGGTCAAAATGAAGGGATTAACCCAAAATCTTCATGCATGGGACCAATAATCAACCAACTCTTAGATCTGAACAATATAATACTGAATGAACCCTTAGAAAGCATAAAGTTGCCAACTTTACGTATTCCTTCATTTCAAACTTGCTTAGACATGAAAGAAATGGGACAATAACTTAGATCTAACCACTTTAAGCAATAAAGTTTGAGTCTTTCCCACTTACAAAGGTCCAAAAAAAAAATGAGATGATGATTCCTTGCAAGCTCCACCAATAGAACACCTTCTTCTCCTTCTTCTCTTCTTCTTCAAGACAAGAAATTCTCCAAAAGGCCAAGAATCAACCAAGGAATTAGGGCTAGGGAATTTCTAAGGTAAAAGGGTGTTAGAGGTCGGTAATGAACCCTAAAAATGACTTAGAGGGGCTTAAATACGAAGGAAACCCTAAAAGATAATGGGCTTGGGCTGCAACAGTTCTCACGTGTGAGACCTTATGTCTCACGTCGTGAGATTGGTCCCAAAACACAATTCTCATGTTTACCCTTTTCACGCCGTGACCACTCAATGGTCACGTCGTGACACTCCATTTCTTCCAAAAATCGACCTTTTGATTCCTTGAAACCCTAAATCGATCTATCCTGGAAAACGGGTGTTACATTAAGGATGTTTCTATCACTAATGTAATTCAATTGCTCACTACTAATAATTGAGCCAATAACCTTATTCAATCTTTCTGCATGGACTTTAGTGATAATTTTATAAATGCTTCCGGTAAGATTAGTAGGCATATAATTCGAAAGAATAAGAGAGTCTTTCACTTTATGAACCAAGGTAATGAAAAAGTCATTACTCCCATGATTTATGTATGTGTTTTGCTAAAAAATTATAGCCAAGAAAATGTTCGAGCATAAAATATTCCAAAATTTATTTATAAATTCGAATGTGGAGCCATCTGAGTTGGGGGATTTATCATTGTCACAACTCCAAACTGCATGTTTTACTTTTTTCGTACTAAACAGACATGTACACAAATCATTTTCTTCATTATTCAATTGTTAAATTTATTACTTTGGAATTTCGGTCTATTGTTGTCAGCTCCTTAAACATTTTATTGAAAAACTCTAATGTCTCTCTTTTGATCACCCCTGAGTTTGTACACCGCACACCATTGATCTCGAGACAAATTATTCTTGAGTTTTTAAGGTTAGCATTAATGATCAGGTGGAAAAACTCGAGTTCTCATCACCTTCAAGTAACCATTTGCATCGTGAATTTTTGCTTAAGGTCAAGCAATCGAGTAGTCTCAATTTCTTTTATATTTACAATACATTCTTTCTAGTTCGCCTTTAACTAATTATCATCTATGAAAATCCGACTTTGACAATAGTATCAATGGCAACAATGTTTTTAGTGAGATCACCCAACAATTTTCATTTCTTTTCTCTTATTTTTAATCTCCATTTGTTTACAGAAATTAAGTAATTTAACCACAATTTAATGTGTATTTGAGATAATAATAAAAAAAATGTTTTTGGCAAAAATAACCACTTAGTCCGGAATGGGCATTCCGGACTTAGAAAAAACATGTGTTTTTTGACAAAAAAATACATTGAGACTGTCATTCCGGAATTCCCAAATGAAATTTCAGAGTTCGAAAAAGAAACTCCGGAATTTCAAAAACAAGTAACAAATCTGATGAACAATTCCAGAATTTCGAGAAAAAAAATTGTTTTTTTACTTAAAGCTAACAAAAAGTTAAACAAATATAGTAAATGTGAGCTATATATGATATTAGGGCATACAATCATACATTTTATTGAAAAACGATGACATTAAACGTTTCGTAATTGACATTTCAGACATAAGTAGAGAGATTTCTTTGGAAAAAAACTTATTTATAATGATTAATTCCTCAATTTCTCATGTTTATATCGGACTAGTTTTAACTAGCCATAACTTACGTGAAAGTTTCTGGATCAAAGAGACCACGGTGAGGCTCTCAAACTCAATATTCCACACCCTTCTTACGATGTCTAATTTCAGGCTCCAATAATATTGCTACATAACGGGTGAAAAATGAATTACTAAAAGTATTCATAATACCCTTTGGTTAAAGCTTAAACCCCTTTATTACCAGCATGCTAGTCACGTACTCACGAGAATAAAGAATTTAAATATGTACGCATTCACGAATCACGCATGCTTTTTCTCTTAACATAATTAAATGTAAAATGCATTAATAATTTCCGTAATAAATGTATTTTGAATTTAATTATGATAATATTTTCCATAATTAATACTTCTTATATGTGTCCTTAGGGCACATATTAGAAAATCCCTATAATACTAAGTTGAAAATAATATAACGAAGGCCTGAAACACCACCTTTTTTCACATACAAAAATCTAATCTATAGTCGAACT